TGCACAATGCACACATGCGATGCATAGTTAGTCACCACATTTTACACCGAGTGACATTGAATATATAAACAGAGAGGGAGAGCCGGTAAATTTGAATCGATTAATGTGCGCCATTACCTCCCCGTATCAATGTCAAGCATTTCGGTGTAATGTCCTGTGTAAGGTAGCTACTGTTAATGTATGAGGTAGCATTAAAATTGTAAACTAAACGGACTACCTTGGAGCGAAGCAGCGTCGGGTCAGAGCCTCGCTGACGTGTCGCTCATTAACACATGGTTGTCCTGGCCCCGCGAAACAGGTCCGTCTCATTTACGTGCCCATCTGATTGGGTCGTCTTCTGGTGGATAGATAAAAACGGACAGGTGCTCGGGGAATCCAGGCGAGATGGCCGAACTCCGCCGTCTGGAATGACACAGGGTGACTGATGGGCGTCGACATCGGGCTCTGATGGGCCAGCCCGCGGTATCGGAGAGGGGGAGCGCCTCTCGCTGCGGTCCAGCCACCCTCTCAAAACGACACCCCAACACAAACAAATCACCGTCCGTCGGCGCCCCATCTGCAGTTGATGCCGGTGTATTGACGTCTGAGGAGTGTTGCAGACCGCTCGACAGAGCCGGAAGCGGGGGCGTGCAGGCTGCACCCTCCCCCTCCCCCGCCCTCCGGCTCAGGGCCGTGCCGTGCCGTGCCATATGTCGGTCTGACGTGCCGACAGCACGTGTTGGCACGTGCCGGTGATAGCGGCGCTGACGTACGGCCTACCACCGATGGCACGGACCGGACACGCGTCAGATGCCAGGGGCTGCCGATTGATGGAGGTGGGCGGACTGAGAGACTGCAGGGCCTCAGTAGGTCAAGGCGCCAACGTCAACAGACTAACACACGGCACTAAGCAATAGGAATTACAGATTGGAACTTTGACTCAGCATATACTTTCAGTTCCAGTTTGACATTACGACACGTAAAAAATATTTCTTGATGGCTAGCATGTGTTGGCTCGCTTCCAGTTCTCATGCGTCTGAAGGTCCTTCCAGCGCCAGGCTTTCACTCGAAACAGAAGTGGTAAAATGTTCATTCACGCGATATTGCTAAACATGCTAGATTGCCCTCCTGGTACTAAAGTTGCATGATAGAATGGTGACCGCTCTGACTCAGTCTCTAACAGCTGCACAAACTGCAAAACGGACAGTGTTGCCGGTGCAGTAACAGAAGGCTCAAGGTAGCGACTTTCGAGAGACGTGAGAGGAGCGAATAAAGTCTGGGTCGCTCGGCTACTTACACGGCCAGATGGTATCTCCTGCACCGCACTGCAGCTGGGAGATTAACTGCATGTCCGACCGTTTTCCCGGAAAATTGTGCACCTTTCGTCGGCAGCTTGTGATTACGTCTAGTTTGTTGTTTCTTTCGTGTGATATTTATCAATGTTTCTCGGCACTTTAACTCTCTGATATGGACGAACTTCGTCAACCTGCTTTCCTTTAACGCAGAGTCTTGTTGCGTCCGGTCTGAATTGTTCTCGCGCCACCTTTTCATGCGCGGATAATCATACTTCAGAGCTTGTATACGATATTTTATGGAGTCTAATTGCAGTGAGCGGTCTGCAGATCTCACATCAAAAAGGGAAAGCTCCGATCAGCTCGGGTCACAGCGAGGCTCTCCATCTTCAGTCTAGTTACATGAGGGTTCAGCAATGTGGGCCTTTGGGCCACAGAGCCGGGCTAAGATCTCTCGCTGATTGTAGCTGTGCTAACAGCCCCGTGTGGCGCAATGTGCAGTGAAAGGAGAGTTGAGTTAGGGCAAAATATATAGGGGTGGTGGAGGTCAGGCTGGACCTCCGAGATCGCGGTGCTAAGATTGCATTGGTAACGTACTTAGGTCATAGTTCACAGTTTAAATTGTCATTTGTCAATTTCGTGTCTCATTAAACACGGCATTAGGCGAAATGAAGGCTTGTTACAGAGTAGGACTATTAAAAGCACATATCGCTGTCTTGGCAGCAAAAGTTCCATATGAAATATCCTATATACCATACATAGACGTGCGACAGGTGACTCGTGTCACGGTACCGCCTTGGTATTAAATCCTCCCATCTGCAGCCGGTCCGGTCGGGTCACCGTCGTCCAGTCCCGTGTGAGCTGACGGTGACCCGTGCGAACTCAGACTCGACCCGAGCCATCTTCTCCCGCAATAAATCATCTCTAATTGGCAGGCCGCAGTCCGTAATCAATTGTTGGCGGCTCAGCTACGAGCGGAGAATTGAAAGGGCCGCCTGTACGGTAGCCGGTCATTGGTATGCTGATGGCCTCTCCGCCGCCGACTGAACAGTCACATCTGCGTGCTCTATGTCGGGACATTCGGCGCAGCGCGTTTTTGCTCTGAAATACGAGCCGGCGTTGATGCAATCAGACGGAAGTATGCGAGACACTCGGCGCCGAATAGATACTAGACAGTTGTTTTACAGAATCGAACCTGTCGTCGAGGACGGGTTATTGAGATATGTGGCCAGTTTATCATTCTGCCGCTCGCTTCAATGCGCAGAAATGAGACGGCGCTCGATGGTGGTGGGAAACATTGTCAATAAATTAGTGGCGACGACCTGTGAACTCGGATGACCAGCCGTTGCAGTTCGTCGGACTGCAGTGTTGATACTCCGTCGGGAATTACCACTGATAAACACCGAGAACTCGGACGTTTTCGCCGTAAACAGAACGTCACTGTCTCGTGTTGCAACATTATGCTGATTCGCAGTGCCCTCTGAGGTCAAGAGAGAGTCCTGGAAGAGCCAGGGTCATGCGATGCACATATCATCGGCAATGCATGTCGCTGTGAAGCAGACTGTATTCATCACACCACAGAACAAGGAGGGTGGCTGGGTCTTGTTTGACCTGGAGGATGAGGCGTTGGCGTCCCATGTCTACCTCCGGCTGACTGTAACCACAGCCTCTCCCGACGCTTTCTCAGGCTGTGGACCGCACAGCCCTGTAATAATCACCATCCGCGCTAACGGAGCCACAGATAATTCGGTTGTGACCAGCGGGTGTTTGTTTAGGACAGATCCAGTTATACTCTAGCGCTGTTCTGTTCGCACGCTCATCCTCTGCTCTGTCCTAGAGATTCGGCCGTTGTCTCAATGTCACCATACGAGTCACATCCAGTTTGCAGGGACAACAGACGGAGCCTGACAGCTCCCACCTCTGACGTCCAGCTACTGTAGCCTGCCTGCTCAAGCGGAACAATGCGTGCAGAGCTCTAAAACGGTGACACTTGGACGCCGTCGACCGTTTGAGGCAGCGACAATGGTGACATCACGGCACTACCAGGCATCCGAGACGCTTTGTTGGCTGCAAAACTGAAAAGGATTGGGCACGTTCGATCGCTTGCCCAACTCGAGTCTGTTGAGATGAGCTCACCTAATCCGCCACCGCGGGCTCAAAGACTGTTTTATCTGCTGCCGCTGAAAAGGTGCGAGGAGCGGAGCGAGAAAAATCGATTCTCAGAGGTCACAGGTCTAGCGGTCTGCTAGCTGCCGCCGGGCAAAGCTCCGGGAACGTGGGCGGAGGCGGAGCACATCTTCCCATTCCGAGTAACGGCAGACCATCCGCATCAGACACTGAAAAAAAAGTTCACGAAGGTTTTCCTTGCTTTGGCTTTGCCAAAATCAAGACAAACGCAGAACGTATACAAGCCTAAGTCACAGCCAGTGCATTAGAAGATCGTAGTTAGTTTTTACTTTGCTTCTGGATTTCGTCCATCTTGTAGTGCAATAGTGCCGGGTTTGTTTTCGGATAATTGCTAATGACTTCGTAAAGCAGCATTATTCAAGCATTCATTATGACCTCATTGCACGTGCAGTTCTGGCAGCTACCTTCGTCATACGGCGGCCGCGCGACTAGCGTCTCCCGTCAGTTCTGAAATTGAATTCCCCGCCGACGTGCGCGTGCGCAATATCCGCCATCATCGTTTTTTGTCCTTTCGCTTCGCGGTCGCCGTGCGAGGTGCACGTGGGTTGGTGAGCAGGCTGGCGTTTGGCAATTTATAACAGGTACCTATACACGGATATCCGAGGCTGCGAGACCGGTGGGAGAACAACTATCAAGGTACGTTCGCTTCATTGCTTGCCCATCATGCGTTTAAGTAATCTGAAGAGACCTGTCTTGACCAGTCACAAGACGAGGCCCCGATACACTGCCGGATTCAGCCACGAATTTGTCGCCGAGGCCCGAATCACATCGCAGCAAAATTCGGTGATAAGATCGCCATGCCTCCCCTTAGCTTCGTCTCATCCTCCGCCCCCTTTCAGCGACCAGCGTCCCCCTTTCTCGTTCTCCTCTCTGTCTCCCTTCTCTATCTCCGTCTCCATCTCCATCTCCACCAGCGTCTTTGTCTTCATCACCGTCCTTGTCTCCGTCTCCCTCTCTCTCTCTCTCTCTCTCTCTCTCTCTCTCTCTCTCTCTCTCTCTCTCTGTCTCTCTCTCTCTCTCTCTCTCTCTCTCTCTCTCTCTCTCTCTCTCTCTCTCTCTCTCTCTCTCTCTCTCTCTCTCTCTCTCTCTCTCTCTCTCTCTCTCTCTCTCTCTCTCTCTCTCTCTCTCTCTCTCTCTCTCTCTCTCTCTCTCTCTCTCTCTCTCTCTCTCTCTCTCTCTCTCTCTCTCTCTCTCTCTCTCTCTCTCTCTCTCTCTCTCTCTCTCTCTCTCTCTCTCTCTCTCTCTCTCTCTCTCTCTCTCTCTCTCTCTCTCTCTCTCTCTCTCTCTCTCTCTCTCTCTCTCTCTCTCTCTCTCTCTCTCTCTCTCTCTCTCTCTCTCTCTCTCTCTCTCTCTCTCTCTCTCTCTCTCTCTCTCTCTCTCTCTCTCTCTCTCTCTCTCTCTCTCTCTCTCTCTCTCTCTCTCTCTCTCTCTCTCTCTCTCTCTCTCTCTCTCTCTCTCTCTCTCTCTCTCTCTCTCTCTCTCTCTCTCTCTCTCTCTCTCTCTCTCTCTCTCTCTCTCTCTCTCTGTCTTTCTCTTCTCTTTCTTTTATTTAGTTGTGATTTAGCTGTCCTGTCTGTGTCGGCCGTCCCACGTGCCCTTTCCATTTGCAGTTTTCCCTAAATATGTTTAATGCATGTCTCTTTTCAAATTTCAGATAGCGTCCCGAAGGCCATCGCCTGGACATTGGGCGACGCCCTGGATATATTCCTCAACGATGGCGATGGTCCTGGTGCTGTCGTGGCCGGCGGCACTGTCTTCATCGATGGAGTAGAGCCTAGAGGTGGCGGAAGTGACAGCGAAGGACACTCTCCTGGCGTATGGTTCGTGGCCCTCTTCGTCTTCTCTCTCAAATACCCCACGGGCTCTCGGTCCACCTGGCGCTATCTGTCGTATCATGTCTTGGGCGTCGGAAGCGCCCAAAGACAGAGTCAGACAGCGCTTCCACCGCTTCCATGGTGAAGTCATGAAGCACATGCTGTTTCTCGCCGTGAGCGTGGCCCTGAAGGGTGGCGCCGGTGCGGCGGCCCGGTAAAGTACGGGTAGCCGCCGGAGTGGCGTTGTTTGCAGCTAGTCAAGAGACCGCGTTTCTTTCTTCTGGCATACAGCCAGACCGCGTAACATGGAAGGCATGATGTGGAAAACTGGTGTGATAATATTTCCTGTCATTCGTGTGTAATGAGTTCATGGAAAACTACGCTCGGAAATGTTATTTAGCGTTTTTTTTTTAATAAATGATCTGGAAATCAAACTTATCTTTTTAAGCTTTGGTTGAGAGGCGCAACGGAATACCGTAGGTACCTATGGGTGGGGGGGGGGGGTGAGGGAAGGGGGTTAGTACCAGGCTAGTGAATACCTGGTATTTGGGTTGGTAAGCTCGCTGTATTGACTTGGTACAGATATTGTACATCATAGTATAAACCTTGCACAGACATGATAGTGGGTTAGTTGCAGAATGCGCAACTGTTAGTTGTACCTTTGGTGGCATTGCGAAGTGTATGCTAAGCATTGGTTATTCTATTGTTTTCCAGTTGTTTCCCTTTGGTTCCTGTAATGCCTAGCACTAGTATACGCGTTGTCGTCGCTTGGTTACTGAGTGCTCGCTGGTTTTGGGTTGGTTAAATGACAAATATTTTGGAACGCAAAGTTTTCCCTTGACATGACTTCGTTTATTAGGTCGTAGTTAGTCAATATTTTTTTCAGTGGACACCTCAACATCGCAAATGAGCGAGTTCACGACCTCATGCTTGCTCATGCACGTCAAATCAGATCACCGCTTTTACGCGTGAAGGCGGCCTCTAGCACGGCGTCTCACCGCAGCACCGCAAAGAGCGCCAATCAAATCAGGCTGAATGGAGCGAGATTGTGACGCATTAGGGTCGTTACGGGCACCTCTGACCCCGGGCGGTACGGCACGGCTGTTTTCCCATTGTCAGACAGTGTAATCCATGTGATAGACGCGCTGAACGACAACCACTGCATGAGAGGCAGAGGAAGTTCATGGGTCACTGCGCGAAAACTAGGAAAGAGAAAGTAGTCGCCCATACTATTTGGCTAGCAAGAGAGAAACGGTTAAACGTTACACAGGCCGACTTTACAGCTTCCACCGTGTGTGCATCAAGGCCTAGCCATAAACGTAGAATAGAAAATGCTGGTAGAAAGCTAGGAGGTCACGCAATTAAGGCTTCATTGCAATCCAATTAGCGAAGTGTCGCGATTCCCCCTCCCCGCCTCGGCTGAGCGGGCCACGTAACTCCATATGCCGTGAGTACCCCTCCCCCTGCCTGACACCTGAGCGGGCCGCCGCGGTCGTCGCATGGAAAGTTACCGGGTGTGTGGACTGTAAAACTGATAATGATTGGCTGTTTTCGACCAATGGTTTGGGCTGTCTGTCTACTTTTATTTGGCAGCAATGTGGAAGCCTGCACTGAACGACCGTTTTTTCCAATACAGTTCACTACCAGAGGTCCACCCGTTTGTACCGCCGACCGACCGAATCAGCGTTCGTAACCACCATTAATCACATAAGGTCCTCCGGGCCGGATGGCTGATCCTTTTCAGTCATTTGTTTTTGCTTTTGATTTCGTTTGTGAGAGTCGATACCGTCAAGATTTTGAAGTGCTGTGCTTGTGCGTGATATATCAAGATGGAGGAGGAGCTGAAAATCAGGAGCCGTCTGAGAGGTAAAGCCACCCGTCTGAGTAATGATTTGAGAGAGTACCGAACGTCTCCCAGTGTTGATCAGGATGATCTTGCATATAAGATCCATGTGCTGGAGAAAGTCAGGACTGAGTTGAAGGAGGTACAGGTCATGTTGGATAAAGCAGAGCTGTTTGACGATTCCAACCACGATGATGTCATGTCTGAGGAGCTGTTCAAAGCTTCACGTCTGCTCAGTCGCCTCGAATCTGCCTCAGATAACCCCAGCCCGGCAGATAGGGGTTTTGATGACCAGCAGTTCGACCTGCGCTCGTCGTTGGTGGTCAAGCTGCCTACCTTCGAAGGCGACCTGCTGAAGTGGGCGGAGTTTTGGGAGCTGTTTAAGGTGTCCGTCCACTCCAACAAAAGGTATGCTGACGTGCAAAAGTTTGTACTGCTTAAGTCTCTGCTGGGAAACGTGCCGAAACAGGTCATAGAGGGTATACCCGTGTCGGAAGAGGGATATCGTGCGGCTGTGGATGTTTTGATACGTCGTTATGCCAGAGATGATGTGAGGCGGGACATGCTGTTGAAGCAGCTCCTTGAGCTGCCTGGTGTGTCCAAACATGATGACTTGAACGCTCTGCACCGCCTGATTGACCAACTGACCGCTCGTGTACGAGGCCTGGAGGCTCTCGGGGTGACTTCTGACACTTTCTCCAGCATCCTCTTGCCAGTGGTCAAGGAGAAGCTGCCGGAAGCGTGGCGCCTCGAGTGGGCGCGCGCTCAGACGGCATCGGCGGCGGACTTCAGCGCCTTTCTCGACTTTCTGCAGCGGGAGATGGAGGTCCGCGAGCAGGCTGCAGCAGGACCAGCCAAGACGGCAGCTGATTCACCCAGACCCTCCGGCTACACTGCGGTGAGTGGCCTGGCAGCCAGCCGGGTGATGTCCCCGGCGAGAGCGCAGGGTCTGAAAGCCACCAGATCAGCAGCGCGCGCCGGTGATTGGTTGTGTGTGGCCTGTGGGAGAGCTAAGCATGGCCTTGCTTCCTGTCATGCGTACCGAGCTCAAGATGTTGACACCCGTTGGGAGATCGTTAGAGCTGCCGGTGTGTGTTACCGCTGTTTGGGTCCTCACTTCGCTCGTGACTGCCGGAGCTCGGACTGTCCACGGTGTGGTGGCCCTCACCACTCCAGCCTTCACAGCTTCAGCACCACTGAGGTGCCCCCGCGACCAGCAGCTCAGTTCGTCGGCCGAGCCGAGCCGTCTCCAGGAGCTGACGGACGGCTAAGACCGCCACCTGCAGACCGCCGAGGTGGCCACCAGCCAGCGCACCCAGCACCACCACCACCACCTGTCGGTCAGCAGTCACAGCGCACAGGTTGGTCACCCACCGCTTCCCGCCAAATCGTTGCGACTGCTCAGTCCGGGACTGACGCACTCGTAGGACATGACTCTGTACAAGCGAACGAGCCTGGACGTGTTGGACACGCTATCCCTCCATGTGCGTCTGCAAATGTGGTGCTCGCCACCTCTGCCACCCAGTCGCCTGCCGATGCTGATGTGATGACCGACGCCCTCTGTCTGCCTGATGACCAGGAGACTCAGACAGCTACCGACCGTCCTGACGCCAGTGGAGGTGTCTGCTTCACCCAGACTGCGCTGGTGGAGGTGACTGGACCCCGCGGCACCTGCATGCTCAGGGTTCTGATAGACGGAGGCTCAGACTCGTCCTACATCCGTACCTCGGCCGCTGATCTGCTCGGTCTTCCCACGGTGGGGAGCGGCACCTTCGCCTGCATGGGCTTCCAAGAGCGCGGTGAGGAGCCCCGAGTCTACGAAAAGGTGAGGGTGGCTATGAGGAGTCGTCACGGTGGGGAGGAGCACCTGTTCGACCTGTGGAAAACCGACCGTCTGTGCTCACTGCCAACCCCTGCCCGACCACCTGCCGTGACCTATCAACCGCACCTCCTGCTCGCCGATGACTACCACGGTGGACCTGTGGATATTCTGATCGGTGTTGACCAGATGTATAAGGTGCTGATGTGGAAGCAGATCCCACTGACTGACCGCCTGCGGGCTGTGGAGACCGTATTTGGGTACGTTCTTCATGGCAGAGACGATGCACCAGTCGCCCCTCCCGCAGCGAAGTACGTGCTCCGCTGCAGTCGTCTCCAGATCGACTGCAACAGGCTCTGGAGTATGGAGGCTCTGGGGATTCAAGTTGAAGATGAAGAGCGGAAGCAGCCACCGGAACCGACGTGGAACTCGAAGGAGAACAGGTACGAGATGGGCCTGTTGTGGGCGTCCGACGAGCGTCCCATCACCAACCTCACGTCCACAGCGGCACGCACCGGGCGCATGGAGCAGCGCCTGGCACCAGCCCAGCGCCGGGAGTACAGCGAGCACCTGACCGAGCTGCAGCGAGTCGGCGTGATCGAGACGCCGCCAGACGACGACCGCAGCGGCTTCTACCTACCACACAGAGGCATCTGGCGTAATGGGAAGCTGAGAGTTGTGTACGACGGTTCTGCCAGGGACGCAGCCGGGCGCAGTCTCAACTCCTACCTCGACGCCGGGGAGAACCTGCTGCGCCGCCTGCCAGTGGTGTTGCTGAACTTCAGGCGGGACGTGGTGGCGGCACAGGCTGACATCAGATCGGCCTTTCACCAGGTCTCCGTCTCCGAGGTGGACAGGAAGTATCTGCAGTTTCTGTGGGCCGACCAGCGCCTGCGCTTCAGACGCGTTCCGTTCGGACTCACCTGTTCTCCTTACATGTTACTGCAGACGATCACCACCCACCTGGCCCAGTACCGTACCACAGATCCGCTGCTTTGTGCGAAGCTGGAAGCAGGACTGTATATGGACGATGTGTGCATCTCTTTCGCCTGCAGGGACGAAGCTGACTCGAGCATGAAGAGGACGGCAGAAATCTTCTCGGATGCCGGGATGGACGTCCACAAGCTGCGCATCTCCGGAGACGACACCGGTGCGGCAGCTCCAGTCCTGGGCCTGCGATGGTGCACCAGCTCCGATCGCCTCGCCGTGCGTGTGCCTGCTCTGCCAGTCATCACCACCAAGCGCCAGCTGCTATCGACTCTGTGTAAGCCGTTTGACCCACTTGGCGTGCTGTCACCGTGGCTGGTTACCGGCAGAGCTCTGTTTCAGAAGACCTGGACGCAGCAGCCTCCCCTTGGCTGGGACGAGGAGCTGAGCCCTGACCTGAGAAAGGAGCTGACCGCCTGGTGTGTAGGGGCCGATGACCTTGATGTGTGGTTTCCTCGCACTGTGAAGATATCTGCTGACGTGACATATCACGTGTTCTGCGACGCCTCGAAGCTGGCGTACTGCTGTGCCATCTATGCCGTGTGTGACGGTGATGTCCGTTTGTTGATCGCCAAGTCTCGTCTCGCACCTGCAGCCCCTGCCCTCAGCGTGCCGCGCCTGGAGCTGATGGCGGCTCTCATCGGCTGTCGTCTCATGGACCTCGTCAGAAGTGCGCTGGACCTCACCGAGCCAAGAGTCGTCTACTGGACGGACGCCATGGATGTGCTCTTCTGGTTGGATCAGCGCCGCACCATGAAGGTATTCGTCCAGAACCGCGTGACCTCCATCCTTCAGTTGACTAGCCGAGACCAGTGGCGTCATGTTCGTGGGCAAGATAACCCGGCGGACCTCGGGACGCGCGGCCTGTCCCTGTCCGAGTTGACTGTGTGTGATGTTTGGTGGCGCGGACCCGACTTCCTCAGGTCTGCGTCTGCTGGACCGCCGCTGCAGCTGCCTGCTGTAGACACCGATCTGCAGCCGTCTTCGGATGCAACCGTGGAGCTGAAACGGGAAAGAGTCGACAAGAAGGTGAGCCTGCTAGCAAGACAGTGTGAGGAGAATGTACCATTCGACGTGACGACCTGCTCTCGTCTCTCACAGGCTGTTGACCGACTGGCGTGGATGCGCCGGTTTGTCTACAACTGTCGCCTGCCGACGCGGGAGCGGATGACCGGACCACTCACACCCGAGGAGAGGAAAAGGAGTCTGAGCTATTGGATCAGAGCTGCTCAGCACCGTACGTACCAGAGAGAGATTGATGCTGTGCGCACTGACCAGTTGCTTCCAACAGGATCACCCCTGGCGAAGCTTCACCCGCAGCTGGATGACGATGGAGTGCTGGAGGCGACTCTCAGGACTGGCGAGCGGCCGGTGCCGATCCTGCCTGACCTCAGCCACATCACGACTCTGATCGTCGACGAAGCGCATCGTAGATGCTTTCATCAGGGAACGCGCGTCACTCTGGCTGTGCTCACAGCCGAGTATGCGGTGAGACGACGGACTGTCCGCCGCGCTGTCGATTCATGCCGCCGATGTAGGCGATACCGTGGTTTACCCTACAGATCGCCAGAGGGCGCTCTGCCGAGCTTCCGGACCCAGCCAGCACGCCCATTCGCCAAGGTCGGCGTGGATTACTTCGGCCCGCTGTTTGTCGACAACAGCGCCACCAAGGTATGGGCGTTGCTCGTTACCTGTGCCACCTCTCGTGCCGTGCACCTTGAGCTGGTTCGTTCCCAGGCGACTGCCGATCTCGTTCTGGCGCTGAGGAGATTCTTCGCGCTTCGAGGAACGCCAGCCGTCGTCTACAGCGACAACGCCAGAACCTTCCGTGCACTGTTAGGTCATCTGCCAAGGTGCGTTACGTGGCGCTTCATCCCGGAGGCCGCTCCCTGGTGGGGCGGGTTCTGGGAGAGAATGGTGGGCGTAACCAAGAAGGCCCTGCGAGTCACTCTGCATTTGTGCCACCTGACTTTCGATGAACTGTCTGCAACACTCTACGAGCTCTCATTTTTTATCAATCTGCGTCCACTCACCCTGGGTGATGGGGAAGACCTACTGACCCCTGCCCACCTACTGTTCGGGGTAACCACCATAGACGGTGTTCTGTGCCCGACGCTGAAAGAGTCCTCTATCAGCAGGGCCTGGCGGCACCAGAAACGGATGTGTAACCAGCTGACCCGGCGTTGGTGCGCCGAGTATCTCAGCGCCCTGCGCTGCTGGAGCACGTCACCTCGCGGTCGGCCGAATCGCACGCCTCACGTCGGTGACGTCGTCCTCGTGCACGGCGAGGGACCGCGCGGCCGGTGGCCGGCAGCTCGGGTGGAGAGACTGCTGGCCGGGCCGGACGGCCACGCGAGAGCCGCCGTCATCCACTTGCGTGGGCGGATGACGCGCCGCCCGATCAGCCGGCTTTTCTTGCTGGAGGCGGCAGCCTGAGCCGCACCTGTGTGATATCTGTCGCCGCGAAGTGCTGCTCTGATCTATGTGCGTCGCGTTTAGTTTCTTTGTGATGTCTGATGCGCTAGACGTTTGGTTTTCGAAATCTATCTCGATTTCGAGTGGGGAGTATGTCGCGATTCCCCCTCCCCGCCTCGGCTGAGCGGGCCACGTAACTCCATATGCCGTGAGTACCCCTCCCCCTGCCTGACACCTGAGCGGGCCGCCGCGGTCGTCGCATGGAAAGTTACCGGGTGTGTGGACTGTAAAACTGATAATGATTGGCTGTTTTCGACCAATGGTTTGGGCTGTCTGTCTACTTTTATTTGGCAGCAATGTGGAAGCCTGCACTGAACGACCGTTTTTTCCAATACAGTTCACTACCAGAGGTCCACCCGTTTGTACCGCCGACCGACCGAATCAGCGTTCGTAACCACCATTAATCACACGAAGTGTTTTCGTAGGTAGCTAGCGCAGTCTTGCCCCTTTCGCCGCAATGAGCTGTTATACCAGCTGAACTTGACTGATAGAGTGATTGGAAGGGCCTAGAGCCATTTTTTCCTTAAGAGTTCATTGCGCTGTTTCATTTTGAACACAGGAGCAGCAAAACATAAATTCTTTGTTGCTGCACCAAGTCAATAGAGTGAATAGAAGCCCCTGAGCTCGTGCTGGCCACTTCAGCAGTCTGCAGCAAAAACCGACCGCTGGAGCTCGAACGTCAACATGGGACGCGATCAAACAAAATAAACGAACGGCAAAAGGCAGCACCAGGCTGAGACGTCAGACAGGTAAAAAGGACCAAATCCAAGGCTAAGCTCGGCAAAAAGACTTCAGGTAGGTCATCGAAACAGCGATTTAAATTAGAAATCACTTGGTTGGATGATTCGCTGTTCAGCTTTTTAACGTCATATGAAGGTCACATAAAAACTAAATAAAAAGATATCGAATGAAAATTATTATCAAACGCTTCTGACCTCTGTGTACCGGTCTATGTACCTGCATTGGAATACAGAGGGCACGCAACAACAAATAATATAAGTACAAATTCATTAAGATAGCTTTAACTTGCACAATAAAATAAAAAGCAGTTACCAAGAAGAACAAAAAATATCGTCGACACGGTACAAAGTCACTAGCAGCGTAGGTTTGCTGATCGAACCTGCAATGACACAGCTGCCGGCCGGTCCAGTGACAAAGCCGTCTGTTCAGAAAGTCATGAGCTGCTCTGCTGCCATCCACCGCGGTCGTCGCTGGTGGCTGGATATGGCGCGACCCGGCCCGACCCACCGGCTGGACCACATTCCAATGGAAGAGGGAAGACTGGCCGTGTACGGTCAGCGAATGGTAGCATCACTGATCGCTGACTATTGAACAACAACAATGTTGATGTGGTGTATGTCTAAATAAATGAATACATAAATAAAATAAGTAAATAAGTAAGTTAACCACTGGCGATTAACCATTAAACACGAACCAAGATTACGGACCAATGACCGTTCAACGGTCACAGATGACCAATGACAATGACCAATGACAAATGACTACCACTAGTGACCACTGACGTTAATTAGCTGATAACACGCGACCAACAGGTGACCGGTCAGATCCATGACCGTCCCGTGGAAACCGGACACCACCTGGGCACGGGACAGCTTATCGTTAATTGGGCGACACGGTTCAATGATACGATCCGGTGTTCGGTGGCAAGAGTGCATGGGCACTGACAGAGGTCGAGAAAAGGTGGCCCCGAGGTGACCTCTACTGCTTAGGGATGGGGTGACCCTGGGTGAACTCTGGCTGCTGCAGAGGGGTAAGTGACCCCGGGATGACCTCTGCTGCTTGGGTGGCAGCCTGAGTGTTTCTGGGTCACTAGAGGTCACTTCAATAACCACTGCAACGCGAGCTCATCAAGCAGAGATGATTGTCAAAATGCCAGAGTAACCGCAACCATGCATGCAATTGAGACAGGCGAGACTGAGAGCAGTTATATCTCTCGGACAGTATAATCATCTTCCAGGTGCTCATTTAGACAGCGACTGGTTACACTTGTGAACTGTAGAAGCTATGTGGGACAACTGTATCTTCGTTCGAATCCGCCCTTACGACTTCAGAGACACTTCGGTGTGATAAATGAACTTCTTGGGGTTCAACATGCACTCGCCACTTATGCCGTCTGCTGCGACATTCGAGCCCTAAACTATGCACAGTCGTGCACCAGCGCACCACCTATCACCAGTCATGCAGGACGTTCTACTGACCGTGCACCAGCTCACAGTCGTGCTGGGACCGTGCTGGGACCGTGCTGGGACTTTGCTCTCGAGCCGTGCACTTAGGCCGTGCACGCCGCCCGCTCCCCTTTCAGTCTGTTAACTGTGCCGTGTGAACCTGTCAAGTCGCACCTTGTCGCTCTCGGAATGCCTCTCTCCTTCCCGCTTATACTGTTAGATCCTCTCCGTCTCGGTCTTGTTTTGTCCCATCCCGTCCGTCCCGTCCCGTTCACAGGCAGATCCAGAGAGCAGCCGATATCGCGGGCCAGCCGGTGGACTGACACCTCCATCAGCCGCGGCGCTAATCCGGCGAGGAGCCTGCGATCGCGGAGCGGCCGGCGAGGCACGCACGCCGCACGAATTTCAATGGCCCTCGGACACCCTCGCCGCCTCCTCTGCTGTCGGACGGCTCCCGCAGAGCCACTGACCAGGAATCCGGTGCCACCACAGAGTGAGCTGCGGGGAGCGAGTCGAGAGGACGCCGAGCGGGTATACCTGCTAACGAGCCTGCCGGGCCCGCGCACCGAGCGGCGAAACGGCGCCGGTTACCAACGGCACGCCCGCGGGCGCAGGAGACCGAGGTAACGAGCGCGCTGACGCAGCGAGGCAGGTCTGCGCGGGGGGCCGGGCACTGGCCATAACCAGCTCCTGACGGATCGCGTACCCGCGGGGAGCCATCAGCGGCGGCGATGGGCGTCAGACGTTGGCGGAGCGTCTGTTGGATACCTGACGGAGTGTCTGAGACCTGGCGAGCTCGGTGCAGTCGGTGGAGATAGCAACAGACGCTGGTCGGGGCCGGCGCGAGCGGAAGACAGCATCGAGCGGCAGGCGGCGAGCGGCGGCGGACCCCCCATGGCGCCCTACAACCGGCCGGCGCCGCGCAGCCCGCATGGCCGCCGCTCCGGGTGGGCCGCGCTCTCTCAGACCGGCCACGGGCGCACCGGAGGCCTGCACGTGGTAACCAATTACTGCGCCGTTTTCCCTAATTTACAGCTGCCGGACCAGCACCTCCGGCCGGCGGGATCCCGCAGTCAAACAAACAATGGACGGCGCTCTGACGGCCCCGTTTCTGGGGCAGCGGCGTGCTAATCAAGCCCCAGACGCATTCCATGGCGAGAACTGGGGAGAGCCGACGCCGCCGCCCCCGGGGCGCTCGGGGCCGCTCGGGCGCATAAAGACGCCCCCAGCGGGGCGCCGACCCGCCGAGGAAGCGACGGGGAGACGGCGGAACATCGGGACAGGGGCGCAGGATGTCAGGTATGGTTTACTCACCCACATTCCGGCGTTGAGCAGGCAAAACGTGTGTCTGACGCAGCCGTAACCGCTGCCGATAGACCTCCGTGGTCTGTGGCTGAAAACGGACCGGTGGCACGGTTAGCACAGGTAACACTGCATTAGAGACTACTGTGAGTGCTGTGTAGAGATGAATGGGAGAGGAGCGGGACGAATCGACGTTTTAAATGAGGGAAGGCCTGGAAAAGAACCAAGTAGGAAGAAGAAACGGAAGTGAACATTATTGTGGAGACACATAAGGGAGCGGGGAAGACAAAAGGTGGTCGGTGCAAAGAAGTCGGTGAACGTCTATGAAACACATTAGCCGTTTTCACGACGGGCTATCCGGCGAGTGCTCCTAATTTGACCAAATCTGCACCTAATCTCTTTTACAGCAAATATCCTGATTTTATGAATTTATTTCAGTGTTTTAATCGATGATACTCTCTGATAATATGATAAAGCATGCATATAAGCAATTAGTGCAACCCTAACTGATAGCTACAAAGAGACACACTGAACCTAATTTGACCAAAGCTTCACCTAATCTGCACCATATGTGCACCAAGTGTGTACCAGATGGCCATCGTGAAAACGGCTAATATCTAACTAAATGAAAAACGTTTAAGTGAAAATCAATCTAACAATTTCATTGAAAAATGGCTATCGGGATGCATGCACACTTCAAATTGTCTGATGTAATATTTAGGCAGGCAGTACCTACAGGCAGTCTAAAACTTGTTTGATCACTAGAGCTTAGGTAGATGGGCAGTAAGGGGTATGCCAGGATATAAGGAAAAACAACTCAACCATACATGGCATGTTTGTCGAAGATCTGATATACCTACCATAGTTACGAACGGTGCTCCAGGCCAAGCATTGGCCGTTTTATAGAGGCACTCCGTTTATCCAGTGTTTCGCGAGGACAAGTAAAAATGCCGTTATGCTAGAAACACGTGTTAGTTGGCGGTATTACTTGAGGAAACTGGGCGTCGAAAAGCACGCCTATAAATTATGCTGTTATCGCGTGTGGCCGCTCGCGAAAATCGGGTGTGCATCAGTAGCCTGTCAGAAAGTTGGGCTGCGATTAAGATTAATTGTCCACGTCTGTGCTACTATCTACGCAACGCACGTTTGGGCAGATAACTTGCAAGGTAGCGCAGATTTTCGCAACGCAAGAGCAAAGATAAGCGATGGATAGACGATATAAAATGCGAGGTCGCTAAGAATGCACGTCATTAAAAAGGTCTGCTTAATGGTTCAATATATTGATTGTCGAACAATGTGACAGCGTTTGAAACGATCTACGCTGGCTATACCTAAGGCATTATGCATTGGCAAGGCACATGGAGAGACAGTTTTAGAATGTTAATTTAAGTATGAAAGTTGTACAAAAGTGTCATCGCGTGTGCTAGAACTTCTTCGCGTTAGATACTGACATTGGCGACTGATTTCCAAACATTGCAAAAGTTATATACATTCTATAATTGCATGCCTGACTGTCGTCATTCGCATGGAAGTGCAGATAATCAGAGGCTGAACATGCGCTGGGTGATGTAGGTAAACGGCTGTCAACGGTAAAGGGTAAACGGTGAGCCTCCAGCCGAATCAAGTAAGGAAAACTGAGGAAGGCCGTTCAAAGTTAGGGTAATACACAGGATTAATAAGCGGTTGCATGGCCGCATCCAAATAATTTATAAGCTTCAGCCAAGGCCGTTGTTAAATAGTCATAGTGAGTGTCAACGCCGCTCTGTAAGATATCTTACTGCGAGGTCAATGCGACATATCTCATTGAATTGAGGTTCTCTTTATAGTTATTTCAATTGCTATTTAAAGTTTCAAAACATACCAGATGCTGATATCCAGAAACATTGCGGAAGCATTTAAAATACAGGGAATCGAGAGCAAAGCTCCGAATAGCTACTTCAGCCTCATAAATCATTCAGAGCAACTAATCTTATTGTAACTCAAACTTCTTACTCAAGCATCTTGCGCTAAAAATGCATATGTCTCATAGCACACTGTCACAAATCACATGGCTCGACATTGTCTGCCCAGTTAGCGCAGTCTCCGGTGCACCGCCCACCGCCACCTGCGGCGGCATTTACTCACCTGTCGCCGTTGGCCAGGTAGATATCCTTGTCATGGCCGAACCCGTTTCCGTTTCCGTTCCCGTTTCCGTTTCCGTTGGCGTAGCCCGAGTGAAGAGGGGAGGTGCTGCGCGGGCTGGGCGCCAGCACCAGCTCCTCCCGGGCCTCCCGGTCCTGGTCGGACGCCGTGGTGACGATGTGGGGCGCCCGAGCGGCGCCCGAGAGCGGAGAGAATAGACGGTGACCCGGGGTCGGGTCGCGCTCCTTTGTAAGCGCACTGGTCAGCAGCGACTGTGGAATCTGGTGTGTGGGTCACGGACCATCACCTGAGCTCGCCAAGCTGGTTTGGGGTGGTTATTTGATCACCAGGTGTTCACTAAAACTGCACCACACCCATTCACCGGTACTCGGTCACAAAACTCACAACACGTGTGCCCTCAGGAATGCTGACGTGTTTCCTCCGGACCACCTCGTCTCTTTAATTCGTCACCACCTCTCTCCCGCCTGAATCACACTTCTTCCAGCTACCGCGTCACTCCTCTCCTCCGCGCGCGCGCGCCGTGTCACCCCACCTCCACGGCCGCTGGATGACGACTGGTCCTCACGTGCCGCTGCCACCGCCGCCGCCGCCGCCCGACTGGCCACCGCTGGCCTCCAGCGACCCGCGCCTAGCGTACCTTTTAGCGTACGCCAGCTCATGCCGCCTCATCAGGGGCCCCCAAACCGGCGGCCGGGGTCCTCAACCCGGCCGGTGCGCCGAAGGTGTTAGCTGGGTCGAGGTGAGGCGGCGGGGTGGGATTGTGTCTACTGCGCCGTGAGGAGGCTGAAAGAGGATTCACTCACGCGAGTACGCGGCTTTTAGTGGAGCTTTAGCTGGCGTAAGGTGAGGTCGGGCTAGAGTGTGGCCCGGATTAGCTGGCGCGTCTATCAGTGTTTCAGTCTCTCTCTCTCTCTCTCTTTCTCTCTCTCTCTCTCTCTCTCTCTCTCTCTCTCTCTCTCTCTCTCTCTCTCTCTCTCTCTCTCTCTCTCTCTCTCTCTCTCTCTCTCTCTCTCTCTCTCTCTCTCTCTCTCTCTCTCTCTCTCTCTCTCTCTCTCTCTCTCTCTCTCTCTCTCTCTCTCTCTCTCTCTCTCTCTCTCTCTCTCTCTCTCTCTCTCCCCCAATAATCAACTTGCTGACGTGACTCTGCACTCACTACAGTCATTGTCCATGTCCCATACAACCTCTGAAGGGGACTCACCTGAGTGTCCCAATCCCCATACCTTTACATTCCATTGCGTCCCCAGAAATACACAGGTGTCAGCAGCGCCGCCGGCGTCCTTAGGGCCGCGGAATTTATCGTCCCGTGCGGCCGTCCCCATGCACTCCGGTCCCCGCGAGCCACCCTGCCCTGTGGGAGATCGGATCAGCACCCCTTGGCGGCACCTTTCCCACGCCTACTCCCTCGGGTCGAGCCGAGCCCGGTCCGACCTGCCTGCCGCAGTACCCTCGGCACCCTCGCCGCCCCGTCGGCATCCCACGTCTCAGCCGGCAGCTAAATAAATTTGGGACGGGCGTAAATTATGTAGCCCGAGTTTTTGCCCCAGGTGTCGACCGGAGGTGCGGGCCAATCCAAACAGTTTCGGTGACTTTAGCCGCTCAGGGGATCCGGCAATTGGGGACAGTTTACGGTTTTGGGGATCGTGCATCACGCGCAGATGTGTGCTGAAAGTCACGGGGCAGACAAATGGACGCACTTTGCACAGCGCCGGCCGTCAGGGACGCACTTTGCACTGGAGCAGAGTCATCGATCTGCTCTGGATCTAATCTGCTGCCGTCACGGCGGTTGGTTCGACACACGGCGCACATTGTCCGTGACTGGCCCAACGGAGTTTTATCGGAACGACGACTCCTCGACGATCGAGCGACGATCGAGCGACGAGCGCACGACAACGCAGCGCGATGGGATCGGCGGCTGCCGGCGCCGGTGGGTCAGGGTGGGCCCGCGATGGGCGCCCGATACGCCCCTGATGACGCGGTCATCACGTCAATCACATGGGCGGTCCGCGCGTCACTCGAGCGGCCCGACAAATCAGCCACCGCCCACCGACCCGGCGACCGGGCGACGCTGGAGTGGACGGATCAGAACCCAAGAACCTATAGGCTTCTCCGGGCAGCAATGAAGCCAAATGAGGCCGTCAACGTGTGTATTATTGCCCACTTAGCTGCCAGTGATGGAAACTCTCGGAAATAAATTTCAAATGTGCCTTGAAGTCTTGTTTTCGGAACAGCTGTTCGATTGCAAACCATCTAAGTCATTCATTTGAGCAGAAATAATTTGCAATGAGGAAAAACTATGCTTTCAGTTTCCTTTGCAGTAAAATACGACAGCGCTGAAGCCATCGCCATCAAGAAGCTCAATTACGTTTGTTATTTGCCTTCCTTTTTCACTCTAGCACTGTTGTCCATTTCCACCGCCCTATAGTGATCGGTCACGGCCAAACCATCCGCCCGCCATTCATTCCACCATGGGCGCGGTCCGAGTCCCGACTCCCGATAGGCCCGTCTCGCGTCTATCGCGCGCACTGTGCACGTTTTTATCGAACACCCGGCACCGACTGCCGTCGCGCGCCTACTGGACCCGATTGAACGGGTTGACAAAAACGGCGCACCAAGACGGTCGGACATCGACACCGAGCGGCGGCGGTGTAATTGGCCGATATAGGAGGTCAGCGGCCGGTCGAGGGCCAGTTTTTGGTCGGGACGTGGGCCACTCTCAGCTGGATTGGGCCGTCCATTTGAGGTGGCGTCGCGTCAGAGTTAATCTTCACGAGCAAACTGCAATGTATCATGATACGAACATTTGTCGTGCATATGTGTGCATTGTTTGTTACTTTTTATTGCCTAGGTAAATATTAATATCAATTGATATCAATCAAATAATAATAATATATATTTAGAACTATACATATATACTTAAATCCTTCCTATATATTATATAATATGCCCGAATGATCGTGCTCGTAGCGTGTCATTCCTTTAAAGGGACCCTCCCACCTTCAAAAAAGTTAATGAATTGGCATGAAAGTGATGTCGCTCGGCTCAGAAAGAGCAAAAACGAATATCTACCAGATTTCATCGAAAAATATTCACCTGTTTTCAAGATATTAGACTTTTACTTTTGTTTACTTTTTGGGATCTCCGCTGTTCCTAGCGACTTTATTTGAAAGTGCGGCATTTGTTGCGCGCAAAGCAGCATATACCACCGCGTGCTACAAAACGTTTTAGTCAAACATTTAACGGACGTTCGAAAGCCTGATGACGTCATCAGATTCCCGTAATGGTTAAGAGATAGGGACCACGCTGGTCCCACCTTGCAAGTAAAGGGAAGAAATTTCTTGAACACCATAAAGCTGCGGGGGTTGCGACCAGGATAAATGGTGGTTTCTGAGCCTGGCCGCAAACTTGGCTATCTCAACTCAAAACTAATGTTAAGGTGGGAGGGTCCCTTTAAACATAACGCTGTGTCTACTGAAATGTGCAAGGTGCATTCGCGAGTCAATTTCTTGCAATGCGGAACAAACAATATCTCGTCGTGTACAGCGGCACAGCATTTCCGGGAAAACGGTGCACCGTCGTGCACCAGCTGCCGAATGACAATGAGTCAAAGGTTGACGATTACAACTTTGGTGTTCGCGTGTTAACCAGGAGAAATGTGCTCATGGAACAAGAATGAGGAAGGCGGACAGCCGTCCGTGACAAAATAAATGCCTGCTAATGACCACTGGCCAGTAGACAGTGGACTGGACGATACACTTGGTTGTCTGCAACCGAATTAGGCTGTGATACTGATACGAAAAGTCGTAACTTTTATGTGTCGACTTTCCTTCAAGATCGGTATGTGTAACAATAGTTACGGTGGCAATAAAATCATATGTCAATTAGAAATACGGAATACCACACAAACAATACGACCGGCAACAGTTAAGGTAGCATAACCACTAATTTACGAGTTAGTGCCCTAATCATCTCCAGCAAACTGCGAACCTTATTTGTCTGATACTGTTCCTCAGTGCCGCCTACATCGATCAGACATACCTAGGCTATACCTTTACGGCATGCAAATCAGTTTCAGCTCGTTCGACTAGTCATGCCACTGGCCCATCCTATTTCACAATGCAGCTTTGCAGGGGTGGTCGGTGCATTTTTTTATAATAAACACCTGCGCTTTACCTGCACAAAAGGACTGAAAGTTTCACTCAACGCTATATCGGGCTCAGGGCTCGCCCTTGACCTCTTGATGAGCCTACCGCCCACGCTCGGTGACCGAGAGAAACGGTCTCTGCACCTACTGCGACACAGCACGGATGGAGTCTCCCTTACCTGTCTCCGTCACCGTCAATGTCACCGTCTCCGTCAACGTCACCGTCTCCTCCTCTGTCTCCAGTTACATCTCCGTCTTTTTCTCCGTCTCTGTGACTGTCACCGTCTCAGTCTCTTCGTCTCCGTCTCAATCTCTGTTACTGTCTCCGTCTTAGTCTCTCCGTCCATTCCCCGTCTCCGTCGCTGTCTCCGTCGACCGTTCTAGTCTCCGTCCCCGCACCGAAGTGTTTCCGAATTCCGTCTTCTCCGTCTCCGTCTCCGCCTCCGTCTCCGTCCCCGTCTCAGTCTCGACTTCCGTCTCCGTCTCCCTGTTTCCGTCTCCGTCCCCGTCTGACAGTCTCCGTCTCCGCTGGGCGGGGCGGTGTCCCCGGTGACAGGCGAGGTGCTATCGCGCGCCGCACGACAGATCGATTGCTGCGATACGGGGAGAGGGCGGCGACCGACACGGGTAGAGGTGCAGTGACAGAGGGAGGTGGACAGGTAGAGGACGGGAGGAAATGAACAGGCAGAGCTAGATGATGGATGAGGTCCGATAAGCTGAATATATAGAGGAGAACGGGGAGTGCACGTGATTTGCGGCAAGCGATAACCAATAGGGCGAGATTGCACGGAAGGGTTCGTGATTAAAACGAGTCACAAATCATACCTACCTGTTTTAGTGCTCAATCGCCTACCCACCGTGGTGCTGTTTGTTGGATGTATCATTAGCACGGTCATTCACATCAGTCAATGCTGTCGCAAAAGCCATCCCATGACATTGAACATGATACGGCTATTACCTTGAATGTCAAGGCATTTCACAGAATTAATCTCCACGACACGTTATGTAACAAGGTAGGTAATTACTGCTTACAAGCGTCGCAATAACACCCGGCCAGTGAATAGACGACCTCGCGTCAGCAAGAAGAATTTGTCGTACCCAAATACGTTTTCGTCTATCACGACAACACCATCTATGAAACTGACCCATGTGTGTGCTGTGGAGACGTCGGGGCTTTGAATGGATCCATTAGAGTCGGACCTTGTGCGTCCCAGCCTCCCCGCCGCCTCTGCCGCCGCCCGACCGACTGACTGAACACGAACTGCCGGGCGTCTCAGGTGTGCCAAGGTCTCCGTCTGGCGGGTGCCGAGCCCGGAAGGGATCACGTGTCCATGGCGTCGGTGACGCCCAATTCCGGGTCAGCTGGCAGGGGATCCCAACGGACTCAGGTGGCATTGACCTCGTGAGCCGGTGAGAAAGACGAGATAACTGGTTAGACACGTGGCAAACCCGTGACCGTTTAAATGTTCTGTATTTTTCTGGTGACCAGTGAACTTTAGTCTAAGCTCCATGGCACTTGGAGGTCATT